CATCAAAATACTGTATTTTTTTGAACTTTTAAGCCAGAAGATACAAGGACTGTTTTAAGATTCATTCCTACTTCTAAAATCTTCTTTAGCACCCCTAAGTCTATATTAGATGTGTAGGTAATAGCTATCTCTGAAGACCATATTTTTGAAGACAGAGCTACTTGCCTAGGTATCTTGCTAGCAACCTAAATTCTTTAAAGATTTTCACCTGATTTTATCCATCTACCTTTTAGATTTAATTTTTTCTTTCATCGGAGCATACCTCCAAGAGATTAAGGGAATGCAAAATTACCACATACGTAGCTCTCTGCCAAAGCAGACGAGGAAGCTCCTGGCTGTTTCTGTAACATAGCATGTTTTGTGATTTTCATTTAAATGTCCTATGACTTGTTTTGCTTTTTCCTGATCTTCAAATTTGGCAGAAATGGTGTAAATAAGCTTTATTTCCATCTCATTTGCTCCCCAAGTGGACACTAGGTGACATTTCCTAACAGAACAATTACTTTTCAGAAAAGCAATCTTCAGGTAGTTTGGTTTTACTTCTCTCATTTTTAACTGTTGTTCTTAGCAATTATGTTTTTCTTACCATACTTATCAAGCACTCTGTGTAACTGAATTTAGGCTGTGTGTTGTTTGTTTACATACCAGCTGCAAAATATTTTGTTCAAAGGGTTATTTTCTCTTCAGGTTCACAAAAGAAAGTCATGTATAAAAACTGCTTAGTAACCTAATTTTACCCTCTGGCAGTGTACTACCTAATAGGTTTCAATTCTATTCATAATTATCTGATACCCTCTACTGTATCTCTTGGCACACTTCCTCATTTTCTATTATCATTTGCTACCATCCATGGGAATTCAAATGTAATTTAAGTCATTCTACTGATCTTTAAGTGCTTATATTATTTCCATTATACTTTAATCATATTGTAATATAAGCCAAATGGATTTTGATCTGTTTCCTGGAATTTCTAGTGGTTCAAGACAGAATGCCTAAATTCGTAAAGTCAAGTGGACAAAAAGAAAAAAAAAATCTATTGTGATATTCACATCTTCATATATATATATTGGGTATGAGGAAGTATAAACTTTCATTATTTCGGCAGAGAAAGCGAAGGTTAGATCAGAAATGAATTTGTCGTTCAGGGCTGTATTGTCAACCTCTCAAAAAACTTGCATTTCAAGGTCAAAAAAAGGATTAAAAAATGTATTTGTCAGAGGAGAGAGAAAATAGCCTAAAATTTATCATAAATTAAAAGAGAACCTAGGCAAAATCTAGCAAAGTCCTCCCTATTCCTTTATAGGTAAAACCCATTTTGTGTTCTTGTAATGGAATAGAAAAAGAGCTTGCAAACTCACTTGTCCTACTTTTACAGAACATGTATTCCATATTACACATAGATAATTGTGGTATTGTGCAAAAATCTTTATTGCACTGAGGTTATGTCAAATACAGATTTTTGATTGTAGTTTGCAGATTTTCTCTCTTTTTAGCAACACATTTTCTCCTTGGTAAAGCAGTAAAAGAATAGGCTTAAAATGCACTATATTAACCAAGGTTTGGGTAGCTCTGTATATACGGCATTAAACACTTCTCTTCTTTTCTCTGTATGAAATTCTACCCATTCAAAAGCCAAGGTAAAATGTACCTTTCGTCGTCAGAATTTCAGACGTGCTGTGGCAAACCGTCTTTCATGCAGCTCAGTCTGCAGTGTCTGATACATCTCCTTATGTAAGATGCTAAAAATGTGAAAAGAAGACTGTGAGTTTATATTTAGGCTCAGGCACTGATTTATGGTAAGGAAGAAAGAGTAAAGATAACTTAACAGGGTTTTACCTTCTAGGACATAAGACTACATAGTTCCTCTTCTCAGATCAGGGCTGCACCTATCCCTGAAGTTCAAAGTAAATAGCAAGAATAATTTCTGACATAATTTAGCTTTCTCTCATTGAAGTTATGGAAAGTGATGAAGCTGTAGATTTATACTGGGATTCTTCCAGTCTAATTTTCACTGTCTGCAAAGCAGGTTTCTGAATCAAAGCTAGTCACCTAGCATCTCGTGTGTTACCACTTAAAAGAAGGCACTTTCAGAAGGCATTATCCATCCTAAGATAAATTTCAAGGTAAACGGAACCTTAAGCACTTTCTGGAAGTGCTATTTCTATTGACTGCAGAGGGAGTCTAGAGGGTGTGAGTTAGTTAGACACTTAATTTTTTACATAATTAACCCTGTCATTAATAAATTATTCTAAAGTAAAGCTAAAGTTTTGAGAGTTCTAGTGTTGGAAAGAATTGCAGGGAGGATGTTGTCAGAATAGCTGAGCTTAGAACATAAGGGTTCCCTTCCACAAAAATGAAATCTGTAAATAAGCAGAGGTATCTAGTATATGGGAATTAGATCTGTAACTCCCTTGACCTCTCGTATCCCACTTCTTATCTTCCTTCTCCCAGCCTTCCTTCAAATGAAGGTATTCTTTAGTCTTCTTCATCATTAAAAAACAATCTCTAGCCTTCTCAGGCCTCCAACATTTGTTGAATAGGCCATTTACAGCTGTTGTCATTATTTCCCCTCAGTTTCTTCCAAATGCCTTCTATTCTCTCTATAGTTCAAGGAAAGTCTAATTAAAATCCTGAAATATCTTTCTGGACAAACCTCTGATACCTTATACTGTCCTTTCAGTCACCAACTTGGGCAGTTTCTGACACTGATGAAACTTTCTCAAATCCTTCTCCTCAGATCTCTTGCCTCATTTACCTTCTCCCACTTACTGTCCTTTTCCTAAAACATTTGAAAATGTTGCCTAACAGAAATGAAGACATTTAAAGTGCAGAAAGACATTTAACTTTTTTTTTTTAAGTACATGCCTATGATTTTTTCATATTTGAGCATCTGTGAAATATCACTGCTATTTTCCCACACTTTTGAAAATCATTTTACTTCAAACCAAAATTTTTTTATGCAAGGCATCAGCTCAGAATCAGTAGGGTTTTTTTGTCTTTCTTTTAAAACGAATGAATCAAATTTCTGAAACAGAAGCATGCAGGAAGTACCAATAAATGGAACAGAGATTAGTGCTTTTCTGGGAAAGATTGCACACCTTAGAATCGCCAAAGGCAAAAGGCTTTGCCCATTGTCAAAAGGTATTTTGCACTACAGTTTAGTTTTATCTCAAAATAAAGGCTTGAAGATCTCTTCCTCCAAATTTGCCTTGTCTAATGCTACTGTTAGCTTCACACAAGAATTTTGGGCATATAGGCAAAATTTCTGCACTAATGTATTCACAGTTTTGTGGGCAGTGTGAATGTCTGCTAGCTTTACGGCTCATAATATAAAACTGTCAGCTGTAGCTTCATGCGCCTGAGCCTGAAAGCTAGCCAGCCATTCGCACTGCCCGCAAAACTGTAAATTGGGTTTGCTGAGAGCAAAGAAGGGCCTTAGCTCTGCCTTCTCTCCCCCATCACATGATTGCACACACATTAGAGGAAACAGGGAGGTATTAACGAAATACCTTAATCTTCTTTGCTCGTCTCATTATATACAGTCTGCTTATTGCAGCTCAAGTCTCCAGGAGAAGGAGAGGCAAGGGAAAAGGGAGAGCAGATTCATGACTGCTCCTAGCGCAGAGCATCCCCGGATCCCACAGAGAATTCAGTTGTCAGGAGCTAAACCGAGAGCATTTATCTCCTTACCTTGGAGGAGCACGACAGGATCCCTAGATATATCAAGTTTGGGAGGGAAGAAGTTGTAAAAACGCCGGAGCCCTTAATATACGCATGAAGATAGATCAAGAAAGACTCTGAACACATATCAGGGACCCTCAACAGTTGTAATCCCTTTTCAGAGCAGGGACAGTTTGTTCAGTGACCTGTTGATAGTGCCATGCCCCATCCTCAGGGCCAACTATCTATCTAGTTGCAGGGGGAGCAAGAGATTCAGGAACCTGCATGTCTTGGCCACATCTATGGCTCTGGTGAGACAGTACAATGTTAGCAAACCCAATGACATCTATTTAAGGTACTATGAGACGGGAAGAAGTAGTAGTTAAGGCTGTTTTAGACGTTTGATTGTCCTTACTGTAGGGAACAAAAAGATGAAACCAGCCTGCAGAGAAAATTGTGGCAGTCTTCAGGGAGAAAGAGGTATATGGGAGAAAGGTGAAAGACAAAAACTAGAAGGGAATGGGAAGGTCTCAAAAGGGCAGAAAAGGTCGGAGGCTGTAAGCATGTGCAGGCATTCTTTATAAAGCTCATCCATCATTATTTTACAACAGCTTTCCAGCAGCTCATGTCATAGGAAGAGGATGAAAGGTATTATGAATGCAAACAGCTGTTACTGCAAGTAACTGATATGAAATAAAAAAAAAAAAAAGGAGAGAGGGAGAGAATGGTTTGCCTAAGCAAAGATTGGAAGCTTGTGGTACTTTGGATTCTTGGCATATTCAATTTTAAAATGTTAGTGAATACAATTTTGCTTTAACTTCAGCTGGAGTTATTAAACTCCCATGCTGAAATGTAAATAGTAAATGGCTAATATTTGCAATAATACTAAATTATTTATTGCAATAAGATGATGTTATCTTGTTCTGCTGAAGCACAGTTATCTGCTAGAAACAGTGGAGGATTCTCTGGTTCTCCAAAGTGTTAAAGGAATTCAGCTAAAACATCACTCTTGTTGCAACAACGCTCTTTGGTACACAGAAAATTATGTCTGTACAAGCGCTGTGGTTTACAGTGGAGGGGCAACATAATCAGGGTACAGGTCCTCATCAGCCTTTCTAAGTCTCTGCATATTCTCACGGGATTAGGGATCACACTTTTCAGGCCTGTATATGCTTACATGAGTAAAGCCTCTCTCTGTATAGTATATCCAATTCCAGTTAATAAATCCAAACAACTCTTTTTAGGAACATAAGTAAGTGTTATGATCTCCATCTCAGAAAACAGGTACAGAGATGAAGTCTAAGATCGGAGAAAGCTAGTAAGGGACAGAGATCTGGGGACAGAAGCCATATATCTGGGTTCTCTTTAACGATCTCCCTTATTTTAAATCTGTAAAATTTCTTTCTTCCAATCAAGTTTGCAAGAACTTACCTTGGACTCCTTAAATTTTGTGCCATGCTGCTGCAAATTCTAACCTTTTAAATAGATATGTAAGTAGCATTTGAGTTGCTCAGTTCCAGAACACATGATATCTTACAACATAGTGTTAGAGATAACTATAGCTGTACCATGTCCAGGTCACTAGATACCTAAGAGACACAGCGAAGAAATGCCAGTATTCTATCAGGGAACAATGCACAGTTCCCAGAGGTTCATTAATTTAATCTCTCAGGGTTTCAAAGCAGATAATGGCCTAAGGAAATTAAATTAACTCTAACAAAATACATCTTTATTTCTGATCATATAGTTATGATGACAATATGCTAATCAGTACTCATCTCTTCATCTTACACTGAAAGATTATGGAAATTATGAGGCTTGTTATTTATTCTTTCAGAATTATAAATGTAAAAGATTCAGATTCAGAAACAGCAGTACTTCACATCATACTTTGAAATTGGGAGACAGAATTCATTCACTTCAGTTTGTTAGAGGGGAACAATGATCCAAAACAGGACAAGTGCCCATTTCCAGAATCTACTGACAATATAAAAATCTGTGGAGATTTCTTATTCTCCAATTTTCCACAAGAGAACATATACAGGGATGTATAATGCATGGTCAGATGATTTATCTCCTTGGTTCACTTCCTTGTCTGGATTCTTTGATTTCCACATTGAATAATGTTAGATTTCTCCTCGGATTTTGTTTAGTCCAAACCAATTTATTCTTTCTGAGATTAAACCTAGGTTCTGGAGACAGTCTATCCATCCTCAAAATTACGGAGGAAGCGATGGCAAGTGTGGTTCCCTATACTTTTTTACAGACTGCTAACACCAGCTCAGCAGGCCTTGCACTGTCAAACACTCCAGCGGTCTCACACACTGACCCCAGGGCAGCATCGTGCGGTTCACACGCCATCAGCATCAGGCTACAATAAGACACATTCATTCTCTCAGGAATTTTGCACTAAAATGTCGCCCAAAAGTTAACTTTTCTGTTCCTGGGCGACGAGAACAAGAGGGGTGGTCAGAGACCACATTCCTGATGGCAAAACAGAATGGATATGTCCAGTTTGCTCTAGAGGGGGCTTGTCCAAAGCAGCAGAGCAAGATGTTCTGTGCCAACCATTTAAGGATGTTGCTGAATTAGCCTGGATAACATGGACCAACAGAAGACAACCATATGCTATTGTCTTGGATAATTTTGGTTGGTAGCACACGTGTGATCAAAAAGAAGTGGGAGTGGAATCCACAGTCATCAGTCCTTGGAAGTTGAAACTTTGTTTACTCTTTCAAGGTAACTTTAAATAGTGTTGGTCAAGGAATGCCAATGACATCTCCTGTGATTTACTGCAGCAGTCATTTAAGACTAATAGCAGAACTAATTAACCTTTGACAGCATGGAGTGTGACAGCTGTAAAAGAATAACAGCTTATGTTGCCATCACTATAGGAAATTGAAACTGCTTAATTTCTCAAAATACCTTGCAGCAATTTAGTTAATTAGCCATTATCTTTTAATTGCTAAAGGATTTTTAAAATGTATAGTCCCCTAAAAAGAAGTGTGCTGCCATGTAAAAAACCTACCAAAATATTTAATCGTAGCTGTATATTTCTAATAATTTATTAGTTACTGTTAACATGTTCCTAAGGTGAAGACAATGCTGTCGCACATGCCTGTGGTCCTCTTGCTGCACATGAATAAGTCTGCGTTTGATGTCTGTGTAACATGTGAAACTTACACAGCTTAAATATTTATTCTCACTTGCAATATTTACTCCACCATCTGTCTGTAGAAAGGAATTGTATCTTCTCCTGGTCCTTGTTTGCTAGCCTAAATTAGCAAGTAATATTTTTTTAGTACTGTATTGTACGATCCTTTGCCACTGTGATAATCCCAGTAGATTTGTTTGCACCTGTTCCATCTTGAATTCGTCTTTCTTGAGGTAAACAGTAATATTTGAATTACAAATGGTTTTCCAGTGTTTTAGAAAGGCATATTAGGTATGCAGAGTCTCTTTCACTGTGTTTACTTTTCTCAGAGTTGCATCATAGCATTTGCTGATCATCATCCTATGGTCACTAAAACACCTGCAATCGTTTCTGGTCCCATGTCACTTACGACCAGTGTTCTCTAAACTTATAAAAGACTGTCAGAGGGTGTGACTGTGCATTATATTTTATCCTATCCCTACCGATGCAATCTGACCTCATGACACCCTGAGCAACTTCATTTCTGCCATATCAATCAACGGACATTCATCTCATCCAACTATGAACTGTCCGAACAGCTCAGCAGTTCTACATTGACACCTCCCCGTATCAGTTTTTCTCTTTTTCAAACATATTCGAATTTAAAGAATCCACTCCATGAACTAATATAGATTTTAACTATTTTTATAGGCCTGTCAAAGAAAAGATAATAAAGTGATGAAAGTATATGAGAAAGAGGGAAAAAAGCCAAGGGATTGGAAGCATGAAGAACCTCTTCTGATTCTTCAAAATTCTGCTACCTTTTAAAGTGGTTATTTGTTTCAGTGAAATGTTTCGTAAGTCTGGTGCTAAGGCTTTCTCATCACATGCTGTGGGAGAAGTGAAAATTAGCATGGAAGCCCAAGAGAGCTATCACGCTTCGTGCACTCTCAGCTGGAGATCATTGTTTCCCCAAGCAGGCTTAAATAGTGCAGCAGGATTGTTTGTCGTAAAGATTCTCTGGGGGTACCGAAAGCTCTACAGAAAATTCCCAGACATTGAGAAATGGTACTGGAGTTTTCAAACACATTCTCATTTGCTGTAAGCATTTCTCCTTGTTCTAGCCTGCAGAATCACAGGTAGCATCCTGCATACCTGATTTCATTTTAGGTTTAAAACACATCAAGTAAAAAAGAATGTACTGAGTCAATCAAATGCCTTAACAAATGTTGCCAGTGAACCTTAAAGGATGTAGAGGGAAGAAAGTAAAGTGTAAGCCTGACACATTTTCCAGAAAAGCTGTGGTTAAGTAAAGACTTCCTGAAACTAGCATTAAATTTGTGCTGCAACTGTGCATGCTGGGTTTTCTTCATAATTAATCATAGGAGTTGGTGCAAACAACACTATTGATTAAAAAGCTAAATTTCTGCAGCACCTTTCAGATATTTGGTGACTTCATCAGAATCTTTAGTAGTTTATCTACTAGAGATAAATTATAATATTTTCCTATACCCATGTCCAGTAATTCTGCATCTACTGTTCAATCAAGCTACACTGCTGGGCACTCAATGCTTTCCTAACAGGGACATGTTAACAGTATATTTAAAGCTTCATGACACATCTGAGGGAAGAGATTAATAAATAACAACAAGGACACCTCTGGCCAATACTTCTTTGATCCTGTCAATGAAATCTTTCTGCTGCCATCGCAAGATGTGTGCTCTGCATGTTCAGATATGTAGGAAGAGTTTTCTGAAGATTAAATATGGTGGCAGAATCACCTGCCTCCTAACAGGTCCTCTTCAGCTTTCCAGAAACGCTGAGTGAAATACTAGCCCAGTTTAAGCCCAATTGCAAATTTATTATTGACTGAATAAGAGCCAGATCTCAGCCTCATTTTGTGAAGAGGGTTGTGGGACCGCATTGTAGCTGTGACTACTTGTAATCAGATTTTTCTTTATTACCCAAAGAAAAATATTTTAAATAGGAGAAACAATAGAATGTATGGCTGCTCATGGACATCTGTGAAACAACAGCTGGCTTCCTTAGGGGGGATTATTCAAATTTGTTTATGCATTTGTAGTGCATGTAAGTAATGTCTAAACGGTACTTGGTAACGTCCTGCTCTTTCAGAGGGGAGATCTGCAGCTCTGTTGTAATTGTTTACTTTCTAAAGAGTTGCTTTGCTCTTTATAACGTTTTGGCATCAGCTTCCAGAATTTCCCTGTAATGCATTCAAGCTCCGGACTCCTGGCACTAGGTACCAAATACTCCGGTGGGTTTACTTTTTTTTTTTAAGTTATATTCTAAGAAGCAACATTTTGTGGTAGCAGGACAATAGAAGCACGGACCCCACTCTGATGTAACACTATTATATTGTACTGTATTGTGCGGTGTGTGACAGTACCGTGCTGAGTGCAGGGGCTCTGTTCACACGGCGTTTAGAAGATGTAGCCTTACTGTACTCTGCCTGGCTTCAGGATAGTCTTGTGGGAGGATAGTAAGTGGAAAGGAGAAGCTTTGCTTGCATTTCATTCAGTGCCTTCTCTCCACGTCCACGCTGAATTAGGTAGAAAACCACTGTGGGAATAATAGGACTCTATTTCTGCCCACATAAAGAAAGCAATCACCTTACTTTTAAAGGTCGCAGCTAGCACTTGCGTTTAAATTGTGAGAATGATATTGCTCCGTATAAATAAGGTGAAATGAAATGCTAACTTCATCAAAGTCTTGACTCATTGCCTTTCAGAACAATCACACCTATTGAGTCTTACTTTTTAACACCCTTCTGAATGTTCTCCTTTTTTAATTTTTTTTATGAGAACTTCACATCTTGTAGTAACGGTTTCTGAAGAAACGAATTGTAGTGACCGTTGTAATGACTTCTGTAATGACAGTGTATCACTGTAATGACAGTAATCATTGCAGTGACATTGTGGTGACTTGTAATGACTTCTAGTGATATTTGTATTAAGGTGAACAAAGCTCCTCTGAAACAAATGCCTTCTAAAGTATGTGACATCATTATGAATGTGTACTCCATATATTCACCCAATTTGTCCACCCAAGCAACACATTATCCTTTTATCCATGATTAAAAATCATAAGCTGTACTGGAAAATACACAAACAAACAAACAAACAGGACTTTTTCTTCTTTACAGGTTAGAAAGATAAACTCAGATTCTTTTTATATTAATGAGGGTTACTTTTTCTGCTTTTCCAGGTAAAACACAGGTTATGGGCGAAATCAAGATTGCATTAAAGAAGGAAATGAAGACAGATGGAGAACAGCTGATAGTAGAAATCCTTCAGTGCAGAAATATTACATACAAATTTAAATCTCCAGACCATCTCCCAGGTATGACACAGAAACCAGCATCATGTGGTTGCATCATGTACAGCATTAAGTGTGATGTTTCTGAAGATGTTTAAACATGCCATTAAAATGGAAAGAAAATTATTTCTTAACTGGAATGGCATATTCTATAGGCTTCCTTTTGAATTTTTTTTGCTCCTATGAACAACTTTAATGAAAGTAAAAGTATTTTCTAGAAGTAAACTGCCTGTCAGAAGTTAATCCCTTTTTAATCTACTTTCTGATTGTTTACATTTTCTTAATTTCAACAAAAATGATAGCTCTCAAGGTTATTAAGGAACCATGTTATACAGTGAAAATTTGTATTTTGATGAAAAGTATTTTAAAAATGAAAAACTCGTGTTAGTAATAATATTTTCATAGATACAGAAAGACATCAAAATATTTGTTTAATATTGTAAGCCCAAAGCAATTCTCCAACTTTTAGTGGAGGAGGTTCCATTTTTACACAATGTGTATAAGAGCAGATAATGGCTCTGGTATGTCCCCTGGTCTATTGAAATCATTAGCAATAATGATTATTTAAAAGCTCCTGTACTGAACTTGTTGTCCTGTTCTTCCCCTTCCCCAGACCTGTACGTGAAGCTCTATGTTGTCAATATCTCTACCCAAAAGAGAGTAATTAAGAAGAAAACCAGGGTATGCAGGCATGACCGAGAGCCTTCATTCAACGAAACATTTAGATTTAGCTTGAGTCCTGCTGGGCATTCTCTTCAGGTAATTCTACATCTTATTGAAAAACCTAATTTTGTAGGTTTTCTAGTTTTCTATGCTGTGCTAGGCCATTTGAGATCGGTCTTTTACCCTGTATCGTATGCTGAAAAGAGAAAATTACAAAGGAAATAACATAATTGTATGATAACAGAAATATAGGGCTGGAGGAGACTTGAAAAGATTGTTTAATCCATCCTTCCACAGTGAGGAAGGATAGATATTCACAGACCAGCCCTGAAGCTTTTATCCTTAATATCTTCTTAAAATCCCCTAGAGAAGAAAAATTCTACATGCATTCCAGAAATGCTTGTCTGTATATTTAGAAAGTTTACCCTAATATAACTTAAATCTTCCACATTTTAAATTAAGCTAACTTATCCTTAACTATCCCCTCAAAGCATAAAGGACAATTGATCACCCTTCCCTTTATAAAAAATATTTTACTTACTGAAAAGTTGTTATCACATCTCTTTTCTCTTATTTTTGCAGACTAAGTAAACTGAATTTCTTTAATATGTCCTGTTCTCTAAATGCTAATAGTTTGATCTTTCTATCCTGTTCCTCAACTTCTTTTAAAGTTGTGATGTCTAGAAATAGACACATTAGTTGTAATCTCAGACATAGCACAACTACAGATTATGGCAGGTCAAATATTCTCTGTGTACGTTTGTAAAGGAGAGGATGATATTTCCAGTTTCGGGCGCATCAAATGATGCGTGGAACTGATTTAGGAACAGTCTCTCTCGTATGTTTTAGCTGCTTAGATAAATTTGATCATTTGATCAGATATGCTTCTTTCAAGGGGTAGGAGTCACCTCACTTGCCTTTGTGTGTTTACACATAACTAGGTAACTAGGCTAAGTCGGTTGTTCAGGCTTTCTCTGCAGTCAGTGGATAGAGAAGACAATTCCTAGGGTATCTACATGCTCATCCTAAAATAAGTATCTTTTTAAGTGGGAGGAATTGCTGGATGCACCAGCGTCTCCTGGATGTACCATTAAATCTGGATGACTGATTTAAACAAGCCAACTAGATTTTGATTACTAAAAAGTTAGGTTAGATTATCAGCATGAGACCACCAAAAATAAATACTATTTTCCCTGCGTGAAAATGTTCTAGCAGCCCTATCGATTAAATAGACTGAATAAAAACGTATTAGAGATGTTATATCACGTGGGAAAATCTGGTGTGGTCAATAAAACCTTGTTGAAGTTTAAGAGCTAAAATTTCTGTAAAAATGTTGCTTCTAGCAGTGGTTTGAAGAGGGAACTCTTCAAACTTTTGAAGAAGGGCTTGGCAGGCCAGCAAAGAGGATCCCACAGAGCCCTGATGCTTCAAAAACAAGTTGTTAGGGAGTAAGGGAAATCAGGGAGACCATCATAGGAACAGCCAGCCTGAGACTTGCAACATTTCCTCTGAAATGTTGTGATATATACCCATGCCGCACACTAGACTGAAGAGAAGAGGGGCTGTCTTTGCTTTTGGGTATCCTTTTCATAAGCAGCATGGAAATTTACCTTCCCTGTCTCTTTGAATACAAGAGGTAGAAGGTCTTAAGCACAACAAGCAAGTAGAAAGTTTAAAAACAAACAAAAGGTTTCACTTCCTCACACAACTTGGAGTTTGAACTGTAAAATTTATTGCCATAAGATACTAGCTACATGTTTTCACTGAAAATTGAGAACAAGTGATTGGACCTCATAGGCTATTAAATACAAGCATATTGCTTGTGAATCAGGAAGTTAATGATCCACAGGTAACCCTAGGTATCCTGGAAAAGTATCACTACATGATTGTCCTGTTCTTATACTCTGCTGTACGCACTGTACCTTATGCACTTTAAAAACAGAATACTGGTCTGAACAGATCTTTGTTCTGACTCAGTAATTCTGTTTTTATATGCTCTTCCTACCTATCAGACTATTAGATCCTACTGCTGAGCATGAAGCTGGATGATTTGAATGCTGAATTGGGGAGTGATGAGCATTTGGGGACAAAAAGATGGACATCACCAAAAGAGATCAAGGGGAGAGGGAAAGGAAACCGAAAGTGAATGTGCAGAACAAAAAAGGAGTTGAGATCTAAGGAGGAAAATATGTTTAGAGAGAGGAAGTAAGAGGAGCTCAAACCAGGCACAGTTAAGTGGGTCTGGCTGGATAAAGAGACTGGGAAATAGTGGATAAACAGTATCCTCTGAAAGTACATTGTAGAGAGAAATGAGCAGCAACTAGAAGCAGCAACTAGGACAAGGGTCTGTACTCTAATAATCAGCATGGGTGTACCAAGAGCTGTGAATATTAGCTAAGGAAATGGGAGCATTGACTATTGGGGTGGTGGGCTAGGATTGGCTGGACAAGGGTATTGGAAATATGAAACAAAAATTAGGATTAGAAATAGACAGGTTCAGGATAATAAGACTGAATTTAAAGCCTGGAGCAGGGAAGAAGCAAGACTGAGACCCAGTCAGGTTAGAGAAGACAGTATACTAGTGCTGCAGCTGAGAGGAGTGGAAAGCAGGATCAAGGACAGAACTGACAAAAAATTTCTGTTAGAAACTTTTTCTGTCCCTAAAAATGTTTATTTGACAAAATCAAAACATTCCACAGAAAACATTTTGACAGGTTTCAGACAGGCATTTGCCTTAGTCCCTGCCAGCTTGCTTGGTAGCTTCCCTAATTTCCCTGGCTCCTTGGCAACCCATCTGGAACACTTCTGAAAGAGTTGGGTTCCTGGCTCCTTCGCCTTCCTTATTCTATAGCTGTTTCCTGGCTGACTGGCTCACTGCAATTAGAAATACATAATTTCTTATATAACGGTAATCAAAAAAAACCCAGAAGAATATTTTCCACAGATGTTCTGGGTTGGCTTACCGGCTTCTGCGCTGTCCATTTCTTCAGAAGACCCTGGATCAAGTAACCTAGAAAGCCACTGCAGGTGGGGACAGGCTGCCTGGCTCCCCCAAGGACAGATTTTCTGATGAGTGAAGTGAAGTGAGCTTCCCAAGCTGCTGAGTTCCCAGGGCTACCTCATTTGGTCCTCCCCCCTCAAACCATTTGACTGACAGGCATGTAGATTTCTAAGCTTTCCAGATACGTATCTGATTTACCAATTGGTATTAAAGGTGGCCACAGAGAAGCCATCCAGGTTTTTTTTTTTTTTAACTTTTCATTGTACTAGAAAGTTTCCTTTTTTGACTTTATGCTCCAAATCAGAATGGAAAATGTTCAGAAATGTTAGAATTCTTGATTACTGGGAATCCTAGTTCTGTTATGTGCCTGTTACAGTATGGTCTCCTCCAGCACCTCAATGGAGTACAAAACCTTTGCGTCCTACCATTCTTCCGTTGTTAACCTGGATCTGTGAAAGCAAGCAACAAAATGCCCCATTTTCTCTCATGCTGGTTCACACAGAGAGTGACAGCCTCCTACTGTTGTCACTTACCTCCCTTGCTCATTGCCTGAGGTATGCTCAGTGACTGTGAATATTACAAATCTACTGTTAATGCTATCGCTGAAGTGCTAGTTCTCCTTTTTTTCTTTTGAAAAAAAATAGAAAGTTGCCATAAAGAAGTATTGAGCTTTTTAATACAGTGATTTGAAAATTATGAAGTGCTAGAATTTTTCTTTTTAACTATAATTCATCTGCCTGAGGTGTATATGTTATCAAATATGTCCTTCCCATAGAATGAACCCACAGATCCACAGAATAAATCAAGTCCTGTAGTGAAGAAGGCTGTTTTTTGTGTGCCATTAGGCTGCTCAACTGGAAAGCTTGGTGCCTGTATGATAAATCAGGCTGAACTTTGCATATCCAGCCTCCCTGGCTCATGTAAGCACCCTGGCTATTCCTTGCCCTCCCACTCTACATTGCTGAGGCAGTATACATCCAGGCAAGCAAGAGCTATGAGACCGGAAGCCATACCTTGACCCTGGCTTTGTAATTGTGGCCTTCAGCTGAGAGGTAGAAGAAAGGCAATTTCAGACCAGCTCTACAGTTTAGGCTAGGCTATCACATACTGAGATCAAAAACCAGAACTCTGCTTTTTCGCACACATAAGTCTACTTTGAGTTACCAACTATATTCAAGACACCCTCCAACTCCTACGCACATAAAAGAGTCTGGTACAGCAGCTTCATAAAGCTTTACCCTGTGACTTAAAACTTAACCTTGTATTTGTCTTTGGTAACCAGCAGGTGAACAAATTGCTCGGTGATGTCCGATTGTCGTCTTCTAGTTACTATATCCCATGATAATAAAATAGAAGAGGGAGGAGGTCCAATTTTCACTGCTTCCTTTCTACTAGCAAGATGACCCTTTTTTAGAAGTTGTAGTTAGCGTTTCTTTCCCTTCTGTGAATACCAAAGAGAGCTCAACGTTTCTGAATCTTTCTTGTCTGCCAGTAAATGCAGTATGTTAATAAGCACACTTGTAATTATTTTTTGTTATTATTATTTTCCCAGATTCTGCTTGTCTCCAACGGAGGGAAGTTTATGAAAAAGACACTGATTGGGGAAGCTTATATCTGGCTTGACAAAGTGGATCTAAGGAAAAGAATAGTAAACTGGCACAAACTGTTGGTCAGCTCCACACAAACACATTGAGCGGAGCGGTCTGCTTAGGGCACAAAACCTGCAGAGTCTGCTATAAACAGCATCACTCCAAGACTATAGTTTGATATCATTGTGTTTAGCTAGTCTTTCGAATACAAAGTAGAAAAGAGCAGTCTCTGGGCTACATAGCACACTTAAATGAGGGCTAGTACACTTGTTTTGCTGCAAAAAGCAAAGTAAAAGAAAAACTGGGCCCAGAACTTAAAGTGAGGCTGTTTGAAATGAAGACTGATATGAGGGCTCTGTCTTGGTGGACTCTGTCAAGAGAGTAACTGTGAAAGAAATGATGAAGGCTGGAAGGCAGGTATTAATGCAGAGTTCAGCTGCAGCTGGAAGTAGTGCGATGGAAAGAGCAGTCTGGTTTTCTGTGCAACCAGAAGCAGATCATTTTATGCAAAAGCGCCTAGGGTGACTGACTTTCCAAATCTCACTTATCAAAAGTGTAAAGCTTGTTCCTCTGCACCTTAGGATCTCTGATAATTTGCTGTAGTGAGATTATGCCACATGACACAAAACTGCAAGCGGGTTGCAGAAGTGGTAATGTTATCTTACATTATTTTTTCCTTCTTTTTCGTTTAAAAAAGATATGCTATGGAGAACCAGATGTGAATTGTTTCATTTGTTTCTGTGTGTTTACGGTGGCTATAAATCACTGTCCTAGAATGTAATGGACAAAACCATATTAATGGTCTATAATTCGGGGTGTGGTTTTAATGAGAAAGGACAGGATGTAAATTGCACTAAATAAGGAAGAAAAAAAAAACACTCTTTTTGATGTCAGTGACATTGTAATTCAACCTACCCTCTGAATCAGCAGTTTAAAAAAGCTTGGAATTGAAGGGATTTAAGCACTGGGACTAATACAACTATTTCAGCTAGTCCTTTTACTTTTCAGTGATCCTGAAACTGTATAAAGACAATAAATTCTAGACTATATGATAGGTACTGCAGAGCAGTAGATCCACGGCGCTGGCACTACCCTGCTCTGCACAGGGCCGTGCATCAACATCAGCGACACGCTTGAAGTCTAACTGGAAGGAGTAACAAGACGGTTACTGTGCGCAGGTTGTTGCATTAGAGAGAGTTAAGAAAATCCTCTTACTCTCTCAGATGAATGTCTGGGTATGATCCACTCAACACCGTGGCTTCTCAGTTACGGGAGAAGTAATTAGGAAAGTAACTTGCAACACTTAAGACTGTGTCGGCACTTCCACAATAAAAGTCACATTTTCCGGGGTTTGTAACTGTGCAATTAGCTCGCTTTGGTCAGAAACTAATGCGTGGGGTGTTTCTGGCTAGGTGTTGCATTTTTCTCACTGCTTTTGAAGAAGAAGGAAGAGCTTCTTCTTCCATTCCTAAAAGTGTAGAAGATCTAAACCAAAAAAAAAAAAAAAAAGAATCAATATGGTACTAACTCCCTTGTTACTCAGAAGTCACTTAATATTTCACAGCTTCAGCAAAAAGTGTTTTCCCTTGAAATATTACCTCAAGACCTTTGCATACTTTGCATACTAAAAAAAGAAAATAACCAAACTTCCACAATTCAGACATTTATTTGCCTTGCCCAATAAGGACTTTCACAAATTGTTTAATAAACTTGTCTTACGTTTTCTGAATTTATTCACATGTAGCACACTTCCACATGATGTGCAAGACCAACTGAAAACATTCTTTTGGAAATTAATAGTTTCTTAAAAAAAAGAAAACAAATAAGACTTATGCAGAAGCTGGACTGACTGCCAAAAAGCTACATCATTTAAACTGGTGACACTTCCCTCATTCAATTTTTCATTTATTTTTACAGCCTTAAAATAACAGGATGGAAAAAGAATATGAGAAAAAAACACACAGAAAACTTTAATGATACACACACCACAGAAACTCACATTAAGTTGTTGATAACCTGATGGTATCCTGCTTAACTTCAAGCAGAGAAATCTTACCAAAATCCTATTAGCTATCTTAAAACCACAACATCACTGGCAGTGGGAGTAGGATGTGTGCTTTAGTGTTCAATATTATGCTTTTACCAGTATATGTAAACCCTACCTCTCATGTATTTTTAAAAAAGTCCTCTGGAGTTATTGTAAACATCTTATATGTTTTGATGTTGTGTATGTTCTTATGAGAGCATAAATACTTCAAGGAAAAAATCCCCAACCAAACCAAAAAAATCCTATGTGGATGTATTTGACATATGTGTTTCTCTTTCGGTGGGTTATTTTACATTTCTGATGGCTATAGCGTATTCTTTTTTGGAAAAAAAAAAAAAAGAAAAAAGAAAAAAGAAAAAAAAAGTCCAGTTTCAATTACTGTTTGAAGTACAAGCCATGAGGTGTGCAATTTTGTGCAAACTGCTGGTAATTTTGTTCTTGCTAAGATTTATTACGAAGACAGCAAGTCATGCTGGTAGTTGCTATGGAGATTTTCAGCAGGAACGAGCACTAACTGGCTGCCTTACTGGGAAGCCTATAATCATCACTCGGAATTGAGAACGCGGACAGGCATGCTTTGCTCTCACACACGTACAAATGTGGCCAATATTTTTGTAAAATAGTTCTGTTATTTGGTACAGCTGAGGCTGTACGGAACAGCCGCCTTTGCCTGGTAAGCGACTGTCAGCAACTGGCTTCATTCAAGCATCTTTGATTCTCTGAACAGCACACAACATGTTTCTGTGGGTTGTAAAGGCAGTTTTGGAAGCCCATCATGAAATGCAAAGAGTAGAGGTTGTCAGGAACGAGGAACTGCCTCGGCCAACCGCAGCAAGGAGGGGACTCCTTTGGTGTCATCGTTCTCCGCTGCGCAGGACGAGCTAGTGACAGACCGGGGCCCGTGCACCCTCTTTTTTCTGAGGCGGCATCCATTCAGAGGTCCGAGGATGCTCCCAAAGTGTGCCAAGTTCCTTTTTTTGACCAAATTTCTAGGTTGTACTGGAATCACTCTATGCAACACAGGTTCATGTTTGAATGCATTTTTTTTTCTTTTTTTCTCGTTTTATGAATGAAGTCAGGAAAAACTCTCTTGTGACAAAGTTTTTTAAAAAATATTCAAACAAGGACTATTAGTATTTTTTTACTTTTTTGTATATATCTCAGTATATTTTTTTCACTTTTTTCTCATTATTTGTTTTTCATTTATCCGGCCAAAAGTGCTTAGATGTGGCAACAGCTTTTATCATTTCTGAATGATTATTAATGAGTTCACACATTTCTAAATTGCTTTGCATTTCTAAATTGCATATTGCAGGAAGGCAATATCAGAGGCATTTTAACTTTTTTTATTCATAAATCTGCTGAGTCAACAGAGATTGAAGCTGCTTCTTTGTTCAAGGCCTTGTATAGTGGAAACAAGCTGAAAAATGAGCAAAAGCACAGTGTGTGTGTTTACAAATGACAGGGATTTCTAATGTTATCATTATTATTATGCATATGATGAGCAGCAAACAGCCACTTTTTTTTTCCAGATTAAAACTAGACATGAGAGTTTCTATGATGAATGTTGAGCTAGTTCTTTATCATTACGCTTTAAAGGGATAGTATCCAGGGGCAATGAGTGCTGCTTCGTTATCATCACCCACATTTTTACATTACATGAATCCCATGTGGAAAAAAAACAAAAACCCAACCCAAACCAGCTCAAGTCAATAACAACCATTCTGTTGGCTTAAACCGGCTTTAGATCAAGACTTGGAAAATATTTGCGTTACGTTTCTGGATGCTGGGTGTTTGCATGGTTAGGCTGTGGGATATGGTAGCTGGTAACCAGCTGATACTGATTCTTACTTTGAGGATGATGTTGAAGAAAAAGAAGACATCTATTATATTGTAAGCTAGTGTGTGCCCAATAGAGATTATTTAATTAGCATTTAGTTTCATGGAGATATCATAAAGATGTTAATAGTATTTTTTTAACTTATTATTTGAATCATAACTGACACTATTTTTAAGTGCTTTATTTTCATTGCTACAATGCTGAATGTCCCAGATTCCATTATATGAGTGTATATCTAGATATGTACATACCTATGTGAATAACAGAGGAAAATTTGCGGTTCTGTGAGTGTAACTTAAGGTAATGAAACAGAGAGGAAATTTAGTGCAAGTATCCACCTACATTATACTTAAACTCTAGTCCTCCATGCCTTCTGAATTTTTGGTACACTAGGCATGTAGGATCAGTCACTCTTTATGCATACATGTTGCCTTTAGAAGGAAAATAGAAGGAATAAGCAAATCCGGATACTCTCTCTTTAAATCATAAGAAGCATTTTGAAGTTTTCTGTATGTTATGTTTTATTATTTTAAAAAAGATTAATAAGTAAATATAATGATGAGCTTGAAAGTTATAATATATATATAGATATCCATAACTCAAAATAGGTGATTTGAGAGAAAGACATTTTCTTAGTTTGTTACCTTGTAAATAATTATACATTTTTGTATAACAAACTGAGTTCAAATTATTAATTCCATCTGGCATCCAAGCATGTGAATGTGTCCTTATTTGATTGTATCTTAATAGATGTTCAGTGACGTGCTCAGGTGCTCAGCCATGACTGACTAGCGTGTGTGCTGTCATGCTACAGACAACGTGTACAGCATACCCAATGTTTAAAAAAATTCAAAAATACAAAAAAACACAAAAAACACACAAAAAAAGATTAGTCCTTGGAGAAATGTAATGTTTCCACAGTGAATGTTGCATGTGTAGATGGTGGTTTGTTAATATTCATTTTGGTTTAGATTTCTTTTAATTTTTATTTTATTTCCAGATTCTCTCAGAAAAAAAAAATACAGATTTATTCTAAAAGTTGTAAAAACTGAAACAAAAGCAGTATGAGGACTGTATAAAAAATGCTTGTAAATCTGTCTCAGTTTTCACTTTATGTATAAATCCATGTCATGGTTTTGTGATTGTATACAGGATGTATCTTGAGAACTTATGCAAATTGTGCTGTATAAAGGCTGTTATCCCAGTCTGGCAAATAAATATTTAAAATACCTGGTTTGGTTTCTTTTCCGTAATTAACATCTGAATCTATTTTTCTGGTTCAAACTTCTCACTTGCAGACCACAGTGGATTTATTGTAACGCTGCGCACGCTGCCTACGTTCAGCGGCCAGTCCAAATGCGGTATGAGCTCACCTCCCAGGGTAGCTGCAGTTCAAGAAACGTTCCACGTTTCCTTTGGAAATAAGGAATGGATAGTTCTTCATATATGTTCTTCGCACACGTTAGGACCAGAATCGCTGTGCAGGTTGTTGATATCTTGATGTGAATTGATCTCGGACATCCTTTATAGAGCACAAATAAATGTGCACGTGAGGGCCACTTAAGAACGTACAGTGCATTGTCTCCCCACGGTGAAAAAAATCATGAGGCAAAAACTTGGCTTCGCTCTGTACTCTTTTAAGTACCCACAGCTGAGTAAGGCAGAAGGGAAAAACAGCTGATAATCCCGAAAAGGAGTTTCTGGCTACTTTCCTACAGTAGAAAGAAAGTATCCAAGAGCAACGTCTTTCAGCCATCAGAACATATAAGAAATTGATTTCTTTTAGCAGTCATTTTAATATTACTGAATTGTGCCTGACTTGTACAACATCAGTAAGATTTTCTCAATAGAGCTTGCATTTCTGAGCCATGTCCAGACCTATATTATACTTGTGTACTTTCCCTCTTTGATACAAATAATGAAAAATTCGTCTTTCCTCAAGTTAGATAAACTTCTGTTGGAGTCTGGCATCGGTAGTGCATAGCCTGAAATGTTTTCTCACGGTAGATATTGGGGTTTTTTGGAAAAAAAAAAAAAAAGTGAGAAACAGGCAATGCCTTTGAAGATGTCCTTAACAAAAGAGCTGTCCTTGCTTTTTACATTAGCCTGCTTGCAGCAGCAGTGACACAGGCTAACTTCTATTTAATATCTATCACGAACGAAACCCTAAGTTTCTCAGTGCCAGCCCTAATCACAAAAATACAGGTTAGGGGTACCTTGCGTACCTCGTGCCAAGGAAATGCTCATGGCTGAGACAGACATTTAACCACGTGCGCAGCCCCACTGCTCAGCACCCTCTTTGATTTAGGTTAGGCAGCTCCCCCCTTCTGAGCACCATGGCCGTGGGAAAACTTCACTGGCCAGAAAGCTGAAAGGAATAAGCTGTTGCAGAAGCTCTAGGCTTATCAGAACCCAGCTCCAGGAAACTGTAGCGTACAGAAAGAAAATCCTACCTTCACACCCACACACAGAGAATGGTCAAATAATCTTCTTTTTAAATAAGTAATAATGTTCAACAAAAAAATGTATGTTTACTCAGCTAAATCTCTCAGCAAAGTATGCATAAAATAAGTCATATTTTCTCAGAACACTATTGCAGGGTTTAAGCTAGCCGTTATACATAGTACGCTACATGAAACTGAAAAGTGAAGCAGGCAGTTCATGGAATATTTTAAAAATACAGACTGAAAGTAAAGCTTGTATTGAGAGAAGTCACTGCAACTATATATTCAGAGATTCTTTTTGGCATTCTGATTCTTAGGAGAAATCCCTCAGTTTTCACAGAAGTGAAATACTACATTTTCACTGAGTTAATAGAGCCACAGTGTGATGATACATTCTCTTTCACGCCTGAAATTCTTGCAGCGGAGAGGCCGTGCTGCCTCCTTGCAGCAACATCCAGCACTGCAGCAAATTTCATTTATACTTACTTTATACCCTTAGGACTGCTGGAATTGCTAATTTCTGTAATTTTTTTTTTAATCAAAATAACTCTAACTTATTCCTGTCTCTTCCAAAGACATCAAAAATCAGGGACATCTGCTTCTCTGTTCCCTCTTTTCTTTTCAGAATACCCTCCGTCCGGGATTTTGTTCTTAGATTTTGCTCTTAGACCTTCTCTTTTTATAGAGCAGATTTGTCTACTCAGCACACTTTGGTTTTGTCTGTAGTAGTAAATCAAACATTCCTAGGCATAAGAACTTGATTGTTCTTATTGTTAAACTGTTAAAATTGTCCTCAGGATGTTTTCAGCCCATACCAACTACAATTTCTGAGTAATTCCTGAGGAATTAGTGTAGGCCAATTGAGACCGTTCCCACGGCACAATGGATTGGCCACTCTTTTTAGGAGAGTTATAGACTGAACACAGAGAGAATGGTCGTGGGTAATTTTAATTTGCTTATAGAGACGTAGCCCTTGTGATCAGATCATGTCACCCTCCATCATCCTTTGTGACTGCTCAGAAACTCTAACTGGACTGAGTGCCTGCAAGTAATTTTATTTCCATGTCCAACTGCAACCAGGTGCCTGAAGCAGACTTCCTAAAGCAAGTTATTGCTTTACTTTAACAGAAGCAAGGAAGTATAGCCAGAGAAACACAGGCGTCCAGGCACACTGTCCTGACCAGGAATCCCTGCGCACTCCAGGTAGTCTCTGGGAAGGCTTTCTTTCCTGGGACAACTGGGAACTTCCTAGGTGGGTTTCCTGACAGACTTAATGCAGAATGTGCATCACGTTATCTTTTGCAGCCTTACTTCACAAGGACTCCAAGTTCCACAAATTTCAGTCTGTCCCAGTGACAGTTAAACGTATTTATAAATTCAAGCTACAACAGTAAGCACAATACTGTAATAACAAACAGTCGTAAACTGTCAGAGCTCCTTCAGATCTGTCATACCAGCATATACCACTTTAAACTGTGGAAAAAAAACCCCCAAAACCTACACTCATGGGAGTAGTTGGCTGATTTATTTGTACCGGTATAGCTACAATGGTACGACTGCATGCAGATAAAGACTCAGACACTGAAGGTCAGATAGCAAATAGTTTGGGCAGACTGACCATTTTACTGTGGTCACCACTCTAGAGCGTTCACTACTGTGGCCTCTCTAAAGAATCAAGGATTGCTTGATCCTACACCCTTGCACTTACTGTGTCAGGATTTTTAGATGATACAATATTTAACAAGATTTTATACCAGAAGGAAAAAACATAAAGGAGAATCTTTTTACTGCATAGACTGTTAAATCTCAGGATGCTCTTGGTATCGGTTAGCAGTTCTGCATCCGTAGTTATGATACAGATGGAACACACCATTAGGAGACTCTGGAATGCAGATAATATGCTGTTTGGTAGGCTACTATTCAGAGGGCCTTGACAGGCTGGAGAAGTGGCTTGAGAGGAATCCACCGAGGTTCAACAAGGAAGATGCAAAATCCTGCCTCTGGGATGAAATAACCCCACGCAACAGGACAGGCTGGGGCCAGCTGGATAAAGTGCAGCTTTGCAGAAAAGGACTTAAGTGTCCTGGTGGACAACAAGTTGAACAGGAGTCAGTATGATTATGATGAAGATGGCCTTATCATGAAGATGGCCAAACAGGTACCGGGATATATTATCATAAATGTAGCCAGCAGGTCTTATTTCTCTTTATTGAGAAGTGTTATTTCTCTTTACTTGGCACTTGTGAGAACAGATAGTCCTATGTCTAGTTTTAGTCTTGCCAGTAGAGGAAAGACATTGAGGTACTTGAGTGACTCTGGCAGAGGTCCACCAAGATGGTCGGGAGCTGGAGCAGATGATCTACTCCATCATGGTGCTGGGAGAACCGAGTTTGTTCAGCCTGGAGAAGAGAGGGTGAAGGGGAGCTCTTATTCCTGTCCACAATTGTCTAACAAGATGATACGGAGAAGACAGAACTAGGTTCACAAGCACACTCAGCAGACACAAGCTGCAACAGATGAAATTCCGATTAGATATTCAAAAAAAAAAATGTCACAGTGAGCGTAGTCAAACAGTGGAGCAGGCTGCACACAGAGATTGTGAAATATCAGTCTTTGGAAATATTTAAAACGACTGGACAAGTCCCTGAGCAACCTGATCTAATTGGACTTCCTTTGAGGAGGGATGGGAATTTTGACCAGATGACCTGCAAATGACCTTCCAAAATAAATTACTGTATGACTCTATGAGTCTGAGTCCAAAGTAACTACAAGAAATTGAATATTTGTATTATCACTTCATTTTTTAACTGCTCAGAAAGAAGGACAGTGCCTCTGGCTTTGCAGATGTCAGACTCACCAATATGCTTTGTATTTCTGTTAGATTAATCACAAAGATGTGTTTGTACTTGTGAGATGAAGTGCTTCTGTACAAAGAAAGAAGTGAGCAATGATGTCCCTTGTTTGCCTGCTCTGCAATTCAATTGTTCTTGAGTGAAATTCACTCTTGGCCAGTATAAATCTTTCACACAAAGAACTATGAAACCATGTTTGCTAAATTGCCTCTACCAGCTGCAATATAAAAGTTTACTCTAGCTTTAAAGTTACTAATCCACCAATAAATAGCCTTCCTTGTTTCTCCTCAAAAAGTCAAAGAGTAGAAAGTAACAAGGTGGAACAAAACCAAGAGAAGTACTATGTGCTATCCAACATGCTCTCTCACAGGCTGCTGTAGCAGCTCAATGACTACATTTATGCTTGCAGATAGAGCAGAGGTAGGGATCACTCTTTTTCTCGTAGGCCATCTGGGATAGACTGGATCATGCCTAAGTGCCCCAAAATGAATAACTGTGTCAAAACTGCCTGTTGAGAACAATCTCTGGTATTCGGGGACATGTGCCACTTGACATGTCAGAGCTGTGTCGAGAATGTGCCAAAAACAAAATGGTATGGATAAATGCAAGTCAGCACTCCAGCCTGTCCTCTGTGTTTTATTTACTTTTTACAGAGATGTCCAACAGTTCTACAAGTGGCTTGTAGAATTCTTCTTGTTGTTTCTCACCCCATATTATATAATATTTGGAAACACTTAGATTACTGTAGCCCACAGAAGATGTCGTGACTAGGAGGCATACCAGTGTTTCAGGTTTTACTTAAACAGAACTTGAAGGGCATGCAGTCTAAATAGACAAAATTGCCCAAGAAAACCAGTGTCATTGTAAGTCCCCTCCTCCTCTTTAAGCTAGGCATATGTCCACAAACAAGAGAAAGATGGCAAAATCACAAAACT